AAGCACAATCAGTGACTTCAGTCTGCATGCGGTCGGGGGTCGCGACATGCTCGCGATTCAGACCTGATTGCATCTATTGATATGAGAAAGACAAGCAGGAAGGCAATAGACAAAAAAACGGAGATTCAAAAAGAGGGGGCGGGGGGTGAGATGGGGAGGTAAGAAGGGAGGGTTTATTTTAGAACATGTGTGTCTTGAGCAGGTGCTGGCTGCGTGCTGAGAGTGTCTGAGGACAGGTTGAGTATCTGATCTGAGTCATACACAGAAATGACTCACAAACCACACCAGTCCTCATCAACATACATAGAAAGAAAGAAAGAGAGAGGATGGATGTCTTGGTGTCTTTTACCACCTTTCGCAGTACCTGGTGACTTTGTATTTCTGGTTTGTTCATTCAGACTCACTGGATGGATAAATTAGATGGCCCTTGTGGTAAAATGGCATCTACTTCTTGAGTGCTCTGAGAATGAAGTTCTGGTTTAAGAATATAACTGCAATTCCAAACGCCTAGCCTTACATAATTACAGTGTCAGATGGTACTGTCTACTTTATACAATAACATTACAGCAGTACTATGGCATACGTTTTACAAGAAAATACTATTTTAGTGAAATACTTATACTAATTGATCTAAAACTTTTTCTACACCATTTTTTAGTGTACTTCAGAAAAAAAAAACTTTTGATCCATTGATACCTTTGAAAAGGTTTTAAATGAATCCAACTTTTAGCAAAAATACCTCTCCGCAATATCATATTTAGATTCTATTTAAAATTTTAGTAACTCAAGTACAGTTTTCGCCATGGAAATAACCTTAGAGGCTGGCATGGCATTAAAAAAAAAAAAAAGCATATCAGTATGTATTTAAAAAATGCAAAATACATATAGCGTATCATGGCGCAGTACTTTTATATACCATGCTACAGAATGATACAGCATACAAATAAAGAATACCACTTCTTGGAAGTACCTTGAAGTACTTTATTAATATTATTATTTTAACTTTATAAATCTATTTATTTATTTATTTACAATTATTGCATCTCATTATTTGACCATGACCAAAACATTTTTTTGTTAGTGAAGCTACAGTTAATCTAGCTTGTGAGTTTTTTTTTATATCTAGCTTGTGAGTTGATATATTCAATGAATCTGTGAATCATATGAAAAAAAAAGTAGAGTTGGTGCCTGAGAAAAAGATAAAGAAGGAATAAAAGTAATGCAGGTATTATAGTGACAGCATGACAGGCATGCCATACCAAAGCTACTGACAAAGCACTGTAAAAATATTGTGGTGAATATATATAGTTCAAGGGTACTTTGTGGGTCAGGTTGTCTGTTAATAGAACAGAGACCAGAATACAAAGTGACTTCAGCAGGTCTATGTCATTCTAATATCATTGCTAGGTGGTACCCTTTGTTATTAGAGTCCATTCATCATGTTTCCAAAACAAGAAAATATAGTCCTGCATTCATAACTTTACCCTGACAGGAATTGAGACCATGACTAAAAAATGTGGTAATACCATGGTACTTTTTTGTAAGCATGGGCTAACCTCGATTTGTGAGCATAAATAACATTTCAAAACATAAGGCTGTCCTTCACATCATTTAATATGAAATACTAAAATCAAGCATGTTTTTGCTGGTTAGCATAAGCAGAGTCAATTAGCGATACAGCTGTGTGCTAAAATGCAGGGTTGGCTTGTTTACGAGGACCAAACGGAGTGCGAGGACTCTAATTGTCTCATCCAAGCTGGTTTCTAATGATACCCAAGCTGTCAAACCACTACTGCTGTGTGCGCTAAAGCTAGTCGTGCTGACATGTAGCGCTGTCAATGAAACGACTGACTACTGTGCTGGGCTAACGTCGTAGCCTAGCACAGTGTTGATTAGCCCATTACTCATGGTCTGTTAATGAGACGACGGCGTGAAAGAAGAAATGATTATGCAGTTCAATCTTTGCACTAATGCCCAAGTGAGATTAGACATGCATTCAGGTTATTATTGGAAAATAGAGTCAGCCCGTTGCATTTATTATAAAGCACATTTATTGTAATGTGTTTTTCGATGCTAATAGCTTTATCATTTGGTGTCGTGTGAGTTGTACTATACGTCTAGGACAATTGAGTAGGGTGACCATACGTGCCATTCTCCCAGGACGCGTCCTGGCCAGGATTTGTTTTGGCTTTGTTTTCCTGTTTTCATGCTTGCTGAAGGTAATGATCGAAAAGTAGTTTGACCAATAACATGCAAGCATTGCACATAATGGACCAATCATGGCGTGTGAGAAGGTGGGATCTACGGTCAAAGCAATGCAATTACGCGTACATATTAGGTGTGTTCGACTTAAAAGCAGTGCAGCTCAGACCGATCGGTGTTTGACATCAGAGTACCTCGAGAGAGTTTCGAAAGCATAACCGTCTGTATTGTACTTTGATGTCATCATCGGTCTGCACACGCAAACAAAGCCAAAACCTAGATATTTAGGCAATATACAAATCCTGGCCAGGATGCGTCCTGGAAAAATGGCACGTATGGTCACCCTACAATTGAGTCTTAATAGAGTTATCAGCTATGTTACATTTAAATATGAAAATATAGCCCACAAAGCTACAGATGAGATTTGAGTGGAAGGCAAGATTTTCATATAGAAATTTCAGTACAGTTATTGATTGTTTTGCTCTGTAAGAGTCAGATTAGAAATGTTTGAGTTCATGGTGAGACTTGGAAAATCTGAATACAGATTTGATGTGATGTTGAAATCTCTTTCGAAACAGTAGACAGACAAAAGTCTCGATTTGGTTTCCTTATAATTTCATTTTTGAGATTAACGATTGCAATATTAGAGCTATTATTGAGAGATCAATAAATCTCCTTTGTTATTTTCTTCCTACAGAAAGCCATTTACGTCTCCGAATAAGTTAAATGTGAATCGTCTGAGGTTGTGAATGCCTTGCTTTTACAGATACATTAGGAGATGCTGCATTGGCCAGTCAGTGACGCTTTTAAAGAGCATTAATGTGTGTGTGTGTTGAGCTGCATTGTGAGCCGGTAAGTGCATCCAGCTGGTGGTGTTAGCGGTGATATAAGTGACGGTTTCGTTCCTCGGTACACTCCTCCGTATGTGAGTCACCAAAAGCCAGAGGAAGCAGGAAGAGACGAGAACAATATCCAAAATGACAGTCGTTTTATTTTTGTCCCCAAATATTCAGGGATCTTGTGTGGGAGCTAAAAACAAGCAAAGACATTTAAGAGGCGGGAATATATTTATCACACACAAATTTCTGATAATCCTTGAGCGATTAAGGTGTAGCATCACTTGGAGTTATCTAGGGCAAGATTCACGTTAGCAAGTTGTATAAGGCAGTGTGAACTGGGTCTCGAGTGGTTTTGAGTCACAACCTAGATTTTTACATTACATTTTTAACATATGGCAACCCAACAAAGTACCAGAGTAAATAGGAAGTCTTTAGAAATTAAACATTGACATGTATTGATATTATTATGCATAATGGCATAACTAAGGCTGAATAAGAAAACTTTTGTCACTTTTGCTTTGTAATGACTCTCAATTTGCATTTTATTACTGTATTTAAATCAGTTCAGCAGGTTTCACATATAATGCAGTGCAAACTTGTTCTTAACTGGTTTTGCATCACAATGCAGATGTTTGCATTACATTTTACAACTGGCGACCAAACAAAGTACCAAAATTATCATACAAAAGTGTCTTCAGACATCGAAATCTATTAATATTACCATGAATTATGCAAAATGTTTATCATCTCCAGTATTGATTTTAGAAATTATTTCTTTTAAATGTTAACTTTGCAGCACACCAGTCAAGAACAAACTGGTTCTGTTGTTGGACTCGTTTTTGTCTTAATACTTCATTTCAAAAGAGAAGTCAGTGGTTCTCTTCTTGTTTTGCATAATATAGGTCTAACAGTATGCACAGTTATTAACATGGCCGAGGCTGAATAAGAGAAATATTTTTTTTCTCTTATTTTTATTTTATTGTTTATTCTTGCTGCAAATTAACCTATTTAAAGTATACTGGGTTTTATGCTTGTCCATTTTTTTTTTTTACCTTGTGTAGTTTTGTTCATTGTTTTTTGACAATCATGAGGGAATGTCAAGTAATCTTTCCATGTTGATATCTGTATAATTTCACTACCTTCTGCCTAGAAAATGTTGCAGAGTTTGATTTAACATGCAGCCAACAACATAAAAAATATGGGAAATATATTTTACTATCCTACCGATGCAGTAGCAATTAAATTATTAGTTGCATTTGATTATTTTAATTTAGCATAGCTGTACATGACCTAATCTGAACAAATCTGCAGGCCTTTTTTTTGGGTTGTTACGAACCCCTGCTTTACGCATTATCTCTGCAGTAACCTAGCTGTTTAATGGTAAACCTTATGAAAATGTCTAGCAGATTAATACTCTAATAATACTAATCACCATTTTATCTGCAAAGCAGTATAAATGAAACCGAGTCGATGTGCAAATCCAAGGGTCATCCTAAGTTTTCCCTCAGCTCGACTCCTGCTTAAAATAGCTTGGCTTGCGCTTTTAGAACAGGCCTGTGTATCAATCAACAGAAGCGCGCACATGCACAATTCAACACCCAGTCTGCAAAAATAGATCATCACACTGAGTTCTGGCACGTTGAACAAAAATATGCCATGGCAGTGGAGAAGAGCATGCATTTGTAGCCGTTCCATCAGGATCTATAGGCATCCTTGAGCGGTTTTAGGTTTTGGTGAGATCATGGGTGCATCTAAAACAAGAGACGCAGTCAGGTGTGATGTCAGGAGTGATTTTTGCATGGTTGGACATAACGTGGCCACCTGTTATTCCACTGGGGAAATTCCATTAGCATGTTTGGGGTCACAGTGGACACCATGTGCATCCAGAGGAATGTCACACCACCCACCTCAGAAGACACTTCCTCTTTCCATTCATATAAAAGAGCCTGGTGACCACCAGCAGCGTCCAAACGGATTACGAACCTTGAGATTTGAACCTCGCCAAACAGGAAACACAACAAGAACCATGAGTACTGCTGCTGTCCAGCAAAACCAGCCTTTCAGCAGAGCTGTCAGAAAGATCAAGGTGGCTTCGACAGTGAACAGCCTCGCCAAAAGCTGGCAAAGCTGGGCGAGCAAACACACCGACAAGCAAGACACGATCCCAAGCGGATGGATGCCTGATACCATCATTGAAGATGCAAAAGAAAAGCAGAAGGAGAAGAGTGAGATGAAACTCTTGGTTGCGCCTCGCGTGGTTTCGGTGAACAGCGACGAAGGTGCAGATGACCAGATCAAGACCGTAATGGTGACTAAAGCCATCACACCAAAGTGTAACGAATACGGGAAAGACCTAGTGAGCGTCATCAAGGAGAAGATCAACACCAATCAGCTCACATCAGAGGACACCAAAAACTTTCTTGGTAACGAATCTCCCACCAGGAGACGCTACTGTGGTGGGAAAGCAGGGACTGTGGCTAAAGTGCTTCGACGGAAAGAGGAAAAGACGATGGGATCCAGAAGTAGAGGTTCAGATGCCGAGGACAGTGGTCTTGGGGAGGAAGCGTCTCTGAGCGACAACAGTGATCAGAATGAGAGTGAACCGAAGAAACATGTCAACAGACACAAGGTACGTTTATCTGTACAATGCATGCTATGTTCTATTTGTACTGAGTGCAAATAGCCTAACTAATTGGCAAAAGCTATTTTCACTAACTCCGCCCACAATTAGAACTGCCCGCTTAGAAATTATAGCTTTAGTTTAAATAGCATATAACTTCTGTTCACACTTTGTGTGAATAGGTTGTATGACTATTAGCACTTAGTGTGAACAACTATTTTAGTTTGATATTTTTATACTGACTATAAGTCACAACAGATCAAAACTGCATTGCTGAGAGAATAAAAAATCACACAGATAAGTCACATTGTATAAGTCACATTTTATTATTAAATTCAGAAATAATGTAAAATACAGGTAAATAAAAAAAAGTTTATAAACATAAATACTATAAACATGTATTTTAGTGCTCCACAAAAAATCATTTATATTTAACTTTATTCATAACAGAACAAAACAAAAATATAAGTTTAAAACAAACAAAAATTATAGTGCCATTCTATACAAATAAACTTGGACGTGTTTGCGTGCTCGGCGTTAAAAGGCGAATATTAATTATAGCGCATTTTAGATGACAATTTTTAAAAATATATTCTATGATAAGGTAATATTCCGAAAAATACAGTACCTTTTTTTTACAGTAGTGTAAATAAATAGACACTGCCATGTTTTCTTAGTTTGAATGTAATTTGGTTGTCGCTCCTTTTATAAGAGAATCTTGTTCTGTTCACACTGAATTCAGTTGTTATAGGAGCGAAAACTGAATTAACTCTTGAAAAGTTCAGGTAGTGGCAGCCACATTTACATTAAAGGCACGCATCTTTTCCATTTTGTGATGTACAATGTAAAATCAAAATAAATAAATAAATAAATAATGAATATGTATATGTATATATATGTATATATATATATGTATAAAATATATGCAAAAAAAAAAAATAGGGCGGGGACTTGGTTCTAGTGATCAGTTATTGATTGGTTAGAGGCAAGATTCATTTAAATGCGGTTGTCTCTCTTAAAATACTCACAAAATCTATATTAAATGTGTTTTAATAGGGAATATTTTGAATGACTTGGTTCAAACGTGGTTCAAGACGTGGTTGAAAACATGAGAATCACAACTAAATGCAAATAAACACTATTCATTCAAGGTTTTAATCTAAAAATGATTTCTTGACCATACAACAGTGTTACATACAATAGTCCAACTTTCACAGCAGCGTAATGTTCCATCATAGGCTCAGACATGTTCTGCCGCAATGGAATATATGTAAATAAAAACAGTGATGGATCATTTACATCTGACCTTCAAAAAGCAGCATGCTCACCCTTAACTTGATGAGTGAGATCCATCACAGCTGTGTCACCGTGGTATTTGATTCACCAGCTCGCGTTTCACAGGACGCATTTGCACGGGTTCAGATGGCGCCCATGTGAAATAAGTGCCCCTTGAAGACATCCTGAGAAATATTTAACAGTAATGCTCAGGCATGACAAGCCAGGTTGTCTACACCTTAAACAAGATCTGAATAATATATTATTGTAAACAAAGATGTTTTAAAGTCAACAAGAAATCTAAATTACAAATAGACATTCCTAGTCTTATTATGCATGCTAATCTAAAGAAAAAATGTTTGCCTTTAAAGTGAATTATTATTATTATTACTACTACTACTGCTACTACTACACTCTAAAAAATGCTGGGTTGTTTCAACCCAACTTTGGGTCAAATATGGACTAACCCAACCGTTGGGTTACATTTTTACATTAAATTTTTAACCCAAAAGTTGGGTTAGTCCATATTTGACCCAAAGTTGGGTTGAAACAACCCAGCATTTTTTAGAGTGTACTACTAAAGTGATTTAATAATAATAAATAACCTCTGAAATCTTTTGCAGATGATGTCATCTAGGCCACATTAAATAACATGAACTAAATTCCTTTCTTGTTGAATGCAGTAAAATCAAATAAATAAATAAATAATCTGTTTTCAGAATTGATAATAATATGAAATGTTGAATACAACTTTCTTGTTGAATATTGTAAAAACGATTCATATATTTAAATTCATAAATATTTTATATTAATTTAATATTTTTTATACATTTGCACAACTGTTAATTAACTGTACATTGATAATAATAAATGTTTCTTTTTGAATACTGTAAAAGCTATTTATACATTTAATGTATAAATAAATATTTCATATTAATTATAAAACATTTATTTGCATTATTCATTATTTATTTACACAACTGTTTTCAACATTTATAATAAAAAGAAATGATTAATTTGATTATTTTCTGTCTATAAAATCTATTTATGAACTATATTTATAGATGCATATTTTATATTAATTCTAAAATATTTATTTGTTTGTTCATATACATTTCTGTACATACAGTATACAACCACAAACCAAGCAAATTCATCTTATTTCATCCGTCTTTTTTGCATCTAATTCTTTAAAACATACACTATGTGATGTGACTATGTGGTCCTGAATAACATCTGAATCTTGTCCTCTCAGATTAAAATAGCCACGATGGACGACTTGAGGAGCACGTGGCAGCAGTTCGCTGAAGACCACATTAAAGGTCAGAAGCTCAACCCTTTCAGCGAAGAGTTTGACTATGAACATGCCATGGCTATTCGACTCAACAAGGGCGACGCGGGATACGGGCGGCCCAAAGAGGGATCCAAAACAGCCCAGCGTGCCGATCGGGCCCAGAAACACATCTACCGTGAGATGGAGGAGATGTGCTTTATCATACGCGACATGGGCCAGCGGGATAAAGAGGGTCGTATCTACGTCACCTTTGGCCGCCTGTTCGACCGCTATGTCAAAATCTCCGATAAAGTTGTGGGAATTTTGTTGCGCTGTCGCAAACACAAGATGGTGGACTTTGAGGGCGAGATGCTCTGGAAGGGCCAGGATGATGACATTATAATCACATTACTAGTTTAATTTTCCGGAAAGTTGCTAAGTTGCAATGTAAACGAAGTAATAACTTATTTTATTTAACTTCTTTTACCTTCATTTTTCAGTTGTTTTCAAAATACTGTAACTTTTCCACTAAAACCTACTTTTTCCAACAAGTAGCGGTGTAACAAGTCAAAATGGAGCATTGCTGTTTTTTACACATTGCAAAAGCTGCTCAAATTCAAAAAATGTTTTTTGTTTTTTTTGCACCAGATAAGTAATTATAAACTAACTACTTTCAACTTCAGTGTAGTTAAACGACTTTAAATTGGACTCTAGGTATCTAGTTTCAAATTAGCCCTTATAATTTTATGTAGCAGGATGAAATGTTAGAACGTTCCAGAAAACTGGTGAACTCTCTGAGATGAACGTGCTCTTCTGTCTGCATTCGGGTGCATGACGTGTTTTGAAAGTAGATTTAGTTTTAGTGTTGAGGAGCTGGTGAAAGGGCGACTCCTCGCTCACAGTTTACACAAGAGAATATACTCGGATCTCGTGTTTGTCTCCTCGTGCATCAAACATCAGGCATCCACACCAGCCTTGATGTCTAGACATGTTTTGGAAATCATCTCATGTTTCATGCTTGTAATTCAATGACAAATCAGTTTGGTCTTGTGAGAATATAGGGTAGGGTCTGTTTTTTTGCTTTTTTTAACATTTTGTTAATTTGCGTCTACTTTCAGACACTTGCTGTTGTTTTATTGTTCAGTGTTTGTGGCTCATTTTAATAACCTCTTTCAAAATGAAAGCGTGATAGTCTTCTTACAGAAGGATTTGTTATAAATATTTAAAGATATAAAACAACTAATTTATTTATTTGATGTGGATTTTTTTCCTGTCAGTAAAAGATGAAATAAAACCACTGTTGTGTCAAAGAAAATACAACCTTGTCCTAATTCACTTTTTCAATCATTTGTAGATAAGATAGTTTGAAGGTAAAAAGTTTGAATTTGGCTTCAACATTTTTACATATTTTTGTGTTTACTTTGCGTTGGGGACCAAATGTATTATTGGTAGAAATATTAATTTATACATTTGTGTATTTACACAAAGCAACATAATATAAATATAACGATATTAACAATATAATATTCATAATATTATATAATTGTAATATAAGAAATATTTTATTACAAAATAAACATTTTCTATATTATTTTGTATAATTTCTAAAAGGTATTATTAATATATTTTATATTATATTAATACTACAAATGGTATGTATAAAAGTAACATATTATTACTTTGTATAAAGTATGTATGTATGTATGTATGTATGTATGTATGTATGTATGTATGTATGTATGTGTGTGTGTATAAAGAAAAAAATTATAATTTTTATTATTATATAATTTTAACAAAGATTATTGTTGTCATTATTATTATTATTTATTCATTTTTATTACAAAAATGCAAAAAAGCTATATTATATAAAAATATGTATGTGTGTGGGATGCATACTGTATGTAAAAGAGATCTTTATTCTTTGTAATTACATTAAACAGGGACAAGATTATTCATCTGTTCCTTTGTTAGTGGCAGTGGGTACACACACACACACACACACACGATAATAAAACTAAACCGTATCCCCAAAATACCAACATCTAGCTCAATTCCCAAATCAAGAGTGCTTGATCTAATTTTCCTTGATCTAACTCTTAAAAACCCTTTCGTCTCCTGATAAAGACTTGAGTGCAGCAGACAGACAGACAGACAGACTAACACTCAATATCTGATTCTCTCTGACGTGCGCAATAAGCTTAACGTTATGTGTTAGTTGTTGAAGATTATCGGATGGTTTCAGGATAAATCTTCTCCTAAACCCATGAAGCATCAGGCAATCATCAGCCAAATGCGTGTTTTGTAAATCAGAGTGAGCTATTTTATTCTGTATAACCATTTTCAACAGAGTAACAATACACTAATTTGTGCATCAATCAACAGTGACATTATTTTACAAATTCAAATTTACATGTAGCAATAAGGATTTAAACAAGTATCTCCACAAAGAAAAATATCACAGCATCCCATTTTTAGGAATATGTTGATTATTTTGCCCTATCAACTTCAACATGTACAGTTGATATGGTAGATGGTTAATTAGTTACAAAATTGTGTGGTGAAAAACGCGATGACAAAAGGCCATGACTATTTACCAGATTAAAGTAATAGTAAATACAAAAAGAAAGAGAAAGACAGAAAATGAATGGAAATAAAAGCAGAATGACATTCTTGCATGCTCGTTTCTCCGCCGTACAACTGGGATTGTGTTAAGACCTCTGGTTTACAAGTTAAGGCTTTACAAAAACTACTGTGGAATGGAGATATTTGATTTTAAACATTCTTTTATAACATCTGGAGTGTATTTGGTGTTTAAAAGCAATTATATATCCAATCCAGATTTTAAAATATCAGCAATAACAGCCTAAAAAACTGAAATGTCAATATTGACATCCCAAATCAGACCTTGATGATTTATTATCGTTCTACCCACTAAATCCAAGGTGTCTATTTACAATAAACAGACCGGGGAAAAAAATAAGTAGTTCATATGTAGTTTTTCAGACAGCGATTGAAGTCTATGAACAATGAAATGATGTTGTATTAAATTGATGTATATCAATATATATCGTCTATATTAATATACAATGCTAAGCAGCACTATGTTTGTTTGTTTTTATTTTATTTAAAAGGGACAATACACATTAATTAACATGAGTAAACAAGTCTACTATGTAAATGTGCCAGATTTAGTCATTCAGGCTAATTTTCATCTGCAGTCCCTGCAGATGAAAAAAGGTTTGCCCGAAAAGGTTTTTCTAAATCATGATTTTGATTTTTAGCTCATCAACACATCTTTGAAATGGCACTAAATTCTTGATTCTCTCCGTCTAAAACCAAGTATCTACTATATCGCTACATGGATGCAGAAGTTTCTAATGTAATGCAGAGACAATCTGGCTTTACTCCCTGTAACAAATAAAGTGAGCAAAAATTCATTTAGTTATTGCTTTTTAAGACAATGTACATTAAAGTCTTCAAAAAGAATGTGGCAGTGCTTTATATGGCCTTCGCAACATGAGTATGTTGAGGGTGTTTGAGGTACATTTTTCAGCGTTATTTGAAATCATCACTCCTGAACTTCTCAGAGAGGAAGGAATCTTTAAAAAAAAATCCTTTCGTCTATTGTATGGCGAATAGTGTATTTTCTTCACAAATAGCCATATTTTTATGCTGGATGTAAAAATTCTTGGCTGTGCAGAATGCTGTTTCTTCCCTTTCTGTGCTGGCGTGTAGAAATGTCTTGCTTTTCATTATGAAAACATTTGTATCAGTATTTATTAATCCCCGAGGCTGATCTTGCGTCAGGATGGCACACAGCACATCTCAGTGCGATGTAACAGTATTTTCGTTGATCGTCTGCTGCTACATGTTTGCTCGACTGCCAGCGAAAACGCTCGATAATCTCGTATCAATCGATTCCATGCAAAACCTCATTAGATGGTGGCAAACTAAGATGCCTTTCATGCGTATGCTACTATCTAATGCTACAACCTTATCATTGCTACTAAAGTTTCTGCATCCCGAAGTCACAAATAATATCATAATGTAAAGAAGAAAGTGTACTTTGGCTTATGCCAAACTTGCGGTTGCTTACAAGAAAGACATTTAAGATTATAAAGTGCAAAACTAAATTATCTTTTAATAATTCGTAATATACTCTTAAATATTGGCCTTGGTGATTAATTTGACCAATATTTGATCTTTTTTTGGTGGGGGGGATTTACAGAAGTGGCCATTAGGCCTACTGTTCGTTTTAAAAAAATAATGGATTGCACACGTTTCATTTAAATGTATTATTTTTATGTACATGTTATCATAAAATTGTATTATATATGTATATATCATGTCTGTTTATATCACTCTTCTCTTTAGATATTGGTTTCAGCCATTAAAAACCTCTATCTATTATATCTATCAGCATCTTGCATCCATTTAAATTTTTCCATATACTGTTAGTGGGGGAAAACGTACAATGACATGTCACTGTTTGGGAAAAGATAGTCTTTTTAAATATGTGTCTGCTTAGATTATTGATTCATAAAGCCTGTAGTCACCGAATATAGACACTAGCCACAAATAAAGCCACTTGCTGGCAGCATTGGCACAGTTCAGTAAAGAGAACGACGAAACGGAAGAGACACGAACAGAAAAAGATCCGTGTGCGAACGGAATCATGACTCTTTTCAAACTACACATATTTTTAAGACATATATCTATTCCTGTATTGTTAATTACACAAGAATGCAAACCCGCACTTTTATTACCGATACATTCTTCTCTCTATTGTGTGTCATATTGCACGAACCCATCCGTTGCAGCACCCAACACGATGACTGCACAAACGTTTACCTGCGTTTAGTTCTAAATGGAGGACGTTTCCTCATACAGACCATCACAAGCTAATGTGTTGAAAGCTAAAATAAAGCCCAGACATCTGGTCTGCATTCTTTGACTGTCCTGAAGTCTTTTTCTCAGAGGCTGAAAAAGAGCATTCCCTCTGTGGTCAATTCTGGAATATTCCAGAAAGGTCATTTGTTCTGAAGAAATTCTAGAACATTCTAGAGGGTTCCGGTGCCGCAGTCATGCACAACCAGCACTCTTAGGATCGGGGCGGGGGCATTGAGAGCCCTTCCAGAGAAAAATAAATCTAGTGGAGTTGTTAGTCTTATGAGCGTTCGCAGCACGGCCCCACGGTGCTCTCCAGAGAGAGCTGTGAGGAGTGGCGGATCAGCGGCGCCATCGTGGGGTCCACCATAGAGGAGGTGGGGAAAAGCTTGTACCAGCCAATCACCATGTTTGTCAAATCCAGCTCCTCCAATAGGATGCGGGCCACGCCCATGAAGCATTTACGATCCATCCGGCCGTAGTTTCCCCAAACGATGACCTGTTCATGAGACATGGAAGTATTATGTTATCATAAGGAACAATGAAAAGTACTTTTGACTATAATATTCTACATTTTAAATCTGTTTAAAATGTTTTAAATTCAATTGAATTGAATTCATTTCAGAATTCTCAATTTTAGTTATTTTTAGTCAATTCCATTTAGTGAATTCCATTATTCTTGGTGAACCTCAGAATGGAATTTGAAGAAAAAAAGAAAAAAAGAAAAAAATATATATATATAATCCTTCTAATTCATAAATAGTTAGTTCCATTAATCCAGATTAATCTAATTACATAGATTTTAAGAATTTTAAATGTATATAATTCTTCTAATCCATAAATTCAAAATTGTCATTTTTCAATTTATCATAGTTCATAATGATTTTTTTTGCTAGTTCTATTAATATGGATAAAATATCACAATTTGAAATGTATATATTCCTTGTAACTTCATCAATTCATAATTGTCAATTTTTTATTTACCATAATTCTTCATAATGTTTTTTTGTTAATTCCATTCATCTGGGTGAATCACATAATTTGAAATGCATTTGTGACCCTGGACCACAAAACCAATCATAAGGGTAAATTTTTAGTGTACGAAAGCTGAATAAATAAGCTTTCCATTGATGTATGGTTTGTTAGGATAGGACAATATTTGGCCGAGATACAACTATTTGAAAATCTGGAATCTGAGGGTGCAAAAAAATCTAAATATTGAGAAAAGTTCTTAGCAATGCATATTACTAAGCAAAAATTAAGTTTTGATATATTTAAGGTAGGAAATTTACTAAATATCTTCATGGAACATGATCTTTACTTAATATTCTAATGATTTTTGGCATAAAAGAAAAATCGATAATTTTGACCCATACAATGTATTTTTGGCTATTGCTACAAATATACCCCAGCGACTTAAGACTGGTTTTGTGTTCCAGGGTCACATATAATTCTTGTAATTAATAAATTCCTGATTCAAAATTTTGAATTCATCATAAGTCATAATGCTGTTGTTATCCTCATAATTCATAAATTCACAAAACTCAATTTTTAATTTATCGTAATTCAATAATTTTTTTATTTTTTTAATTATTATTATTTCAGTTTCATTAGTCTGGGCGAATCTCATTTCCAGATCACTCCAAAATGTAAATAAATTATATTTTGCAGAAAGAAAATAAATCTCATTTTAGGAGCATTTTTAGTAGCTTTTTTTTTCCATGAACATTTTCAAAAAAGCTTCAAATCCAGCACAACAAATTCTTTCAAGGTGCATAATTCGTTTACAATTAAAATAGTACATCATATTTTTTCTTAATTAAAGTAAAAGAAATTCAGTGTTTTTGTATTACAGTTATGAGAATTAGGGGGAAATGTGCATTGTGTAATGTGTAAATAATATTACATTTTATTTGTATTTTTTGTGACGTAATATGACATGTACAATCTTGACAGATTTTGTGTGATTCATCCATCTTGCAGCACAAACTGAATAATTAGAATTTCCAAATATGATAATGAATGTGTCAACATTTTGAAGAATAACTTAGCCTAGATCAATCAGAAAGTTCCCTGAGATTCATTACATAATAATGACGGATGTTTGGATGGAGGATGCCGTACATCAGTGAATAAACACATGCAAATGATGTTTTTCCCGCCACCTGATGTTCCTCAACATCCTGCAGTCTGTTCTAACCTTTAATGTTTGTTGTGACAGGCTTTCATAAATGTTGTCCTTAGAAAAATGTCTAATTCGGAGAGATATGAAATGTTTCCCCCTATTCCTTCAGCGCTGCTAAAAATAAAGTGTTCACTGCAATGCTGTTTCTTCACCAGTTCTCTCTGCAGTGGAACTAAATGATCATTCACTGACATCACATCACCTACAGAGAAATTACACCAAATTGGAAAAGACGTGGGTAAACTTTGCCGTAAATTAGAGCCTATTTTCTTTGTCATTTAAATAACCAACCAGACAGATGCATCTGAAGTGCTTGACACCTTAATGTTAAATGCATTAAGCAATTCAAGTACTCTAGCATTAGTTTGCTGGTTCGATGCAGATTTATAAGGCAAGCAACACTATTTATATTGCTCATACTTGCTAAACAACCCCTAATGCTAAATATTTAAGCACTTGGAAATGTTTTGCTTGGTGAACAATAAAATGCAAGTCCCTCTGATGCATCCTCTGGTGGAGTTTTGCACAAGTAACCCTCATTTTCTTCATAAAAGGTAAAAATCGAGTTTACCTGTACAACCTTCCCCTGTGGGCTCTCTGAAAAAACAAGGACTTGATTGTAAAGGGGATCTAATGATTTCCGGACAGACTTCGTCTTCTTTTTGGCAATGCAGATGCCATTTTCCAGAAGGTAGACTTTAATGTAGGCCGCTGAAAGGGAAGAAGGAAACAAAAAAAAATCAATAATTCAAACGGCATCCTTGAAATCCACAAGATATTGAAAGCTACTTTGAAGAGCCACTGATTTAGACGTCTCTTTTCAATTTCCTCTAACACACATGCTCGCTTTTGGATAATGAATGCTCAGATAAGAATAGGAAAACAATCTAAGAGAAACGTGTGTATTTGAGAACCAGTCTATAAACATTTGCAGTCAGTTTTGTGCTCTGGCTAAATGAATCTAATCGCTATCAGGCTCATCCCTCTGTCTGATGAAGAATCACCTGGAGGGCCCTTAGATCCAGGCTTCATGATGAGTCCTCGAGCCTGAATGATCTCCACCTCCAGCTGTCCGTTTCTCTCCATCAGACCGATCTCAACATCTCCTGCAGACATTAATACCCACGTTAACGAGCGTCAAGTGACACGTGGGTGACACGTTCCTTTTTTAATAGCATTGTGTTGATCTATGTTGGTAATAAGGTTCCCTTTGTTAACATTAGATAACTACATTAGTTAACATGAACTAATAATGAACAACTTATAATAATATATTTACTAATACATTATTGAAATCAAATATTGTATCTGTTCATATTTAATGGACCTGAGCTAACATAACCTATAAATGAATCGTATTTTATATTAATATTAATAAATACTGTAACATGTATTGTTCATTGTTTTGTTAATGCATTAACTAATGTTAACTAATGAGACCTTTTTGTAAAGTGTTAACAATATTTTAATGACCATATTTTCTCTGCAGTCTTATTTAATGTTGTTTTATTGATTATAAACTGATGGTTCAAGTTCTGGGTGCTGATTGGTCATTTTGGTTAAACAGCCACCATATAAACATGTTCTGTTGTTATTTACATGTCAGGGACTTCAATATAACATGAAACATACTCTAACAAAATTGATAATCATAATTATTAAAATTTTCTATTGTTTATGTCACATTTTTTTTGGTATTAAAGTATCAAAAGTATCACGTATCAAAATAGAATCTCTTTTCATGCATTCTAATTTACACTATTTTATTGAATATTTTGTCATACAAACGGAAAATTACCGACCACTTGTTGAACACATAAAAAGGTGTCAAGCTCTATCACTTTAGTTGCATATACAGATCTAAAAAGATACGTATCTAGTTGTAAAATTCTAAACAATATTTAAAGCAAAAAGACAGAGGCACAGTATAAGACAAATAAACTTATTTGTTTAGTGTTGTATAATTGAATAAACTATTAACATAAGAACCATTGATTTTAGTTAGCATATATGTCAAAGTATTACATATTAGCCTGAAGTATAACATATTTTGACAGTATATATAAAATTAATTTAATGCATTAAAATACAGTAAAATAGGAACTATTCATATATTAATATAATAGAAGTAGTAAGTATACATATTATATCTATAATATATAATTATTCTATTCTATTCTATTCTATTCTAGAAGCTCCAATACTAATCACAATATCAACATATTATGAACTATAGGGCAAGAAATAGAGGCAAAAATAGACAAGTATAATAATAATAATAATCAGCATTTTCAATCATTTTTTCTTTTATACATGATTTTTTTTTTAATTCTTTGTCAAGGACTTTCCATCACTTACATATACATATCTAAAAAGATGCATAATTTCCTTTATCATTTAACACAATACAATACAAAATGTGTATTTTTAAATACCTATTTTTACCTATATTTATGTGCATAAAAGAAAAGGACAAATTATAGCCTGTTCACTTGTACTACACTAACATGTAGTGATGTATAAGTGCACTCACCCATTGAAGTTGTAGCTAGTGTCTGTCTGCCCACAAACTGAGCAGGTCCCATCCCATCCAGAAAGTCACTAAACTGGGCGTCTGATGCCAAACACATGCCACTGTAGTTCAGACTAAAGGGAAGAAAACGGGGCAGTGTTATTGTGGAAGTGAATTCATTTTATTCATACACTTTATTGAGTGCTGTATTTTGTCTGCTGGATGGAACATACAGTGCTGTATTAACATAATGTTGAGAATTTTTTGTGTACATATATTTCATTGTTTTGAGTACTGACAACCTGAATTAAGCATGTGTGTGTTGCTTGTCATGGCTTTGAAGACTGACATTAGATGAGCATGTATGACGCATATTATGAAGGTTTCCTTCATTCTGCGATGGCTCAAGTGATAACGGCATGGCTCTGTGATGGGACGGGATCGATGGGCGGAAGGCACTTCTCTTTTATGTAATGAAGATAGACAGCCTTTCAGCTTTGATAGTGCCGAGTGCTCCGCATATAATCACACTGCTTTCCTGCTCTAATAGGCAGATTTGAGACGTTTGCAGCCAAACATTCATCACTTCAGTGTACTGTATGTGTTTCCAGGAGATAAGCCACATGCTCCGTGTCATATTCACCCTCATGACCTCTTGAAATAGGAGGTCTGGCCTTCATCTAATAGCACAACAGTGACTGTCCACTTTTTCATAAGCCTTCCGGAATTATTTTTCTGATTCATTTTCTCCCCCTAAAACATCTTCAGTAAAGAATTCTAAGCCTTAAACTAAACCAACAAGATCTTAATATTCTTAATTTATTATATTGTATTATAATAAAAGTAAAATAGCCATGTACCTGCTTGTCTCACTTAGGAAGCAATGCTCCTTTATCAACCTCTTATTTTTTCTTTTTATACATAATTTCTTTTTTACTCTTTAGCTAGATCTTCTTAAAGAAAATTCACTTAATTTTAGCTATCTACACAGGTGAAGAATCCCATATTGCTTATCATAGATTTTTCACTTTTTTTCAGCAAACAGAAGGTAGCCACTTGTGCTCGGATGAGATTAATTAGGTCTAATTTTATTTATTTTTTTTGTAACGAGATCCATTTTAGATACAGAAACAGATGGTGATGAAAAAAGTGTGTTTTCCTTTTGCAAGCAAAAAAAAGGGGGCCAAAGAGGGCAAAGGGGTGCGTGTTTGAGCAAACGTAACCCCCTCCGACATAAAGTGTTTTTACATTCTAGCTGTTTTGACCGACCAATGGCAGATGGGGTGAGTGTTCAGGAAACCTGTTCGAAAATAGTCATTAGTTTTGACACATTTCTTCTTTATTAATAGGTCTATATATTTTTATATTTATTTTAAAAAGCTACCCTTGGCGCTCTACGTGACTGTCGTTCTCTTGCTCTCCTTTCAAACCGTCTCTCCCTCCTTTCTCCATTCCCATTCCTGTGTGTGTGTTCTCAATAATCCTCAACACTAATGTGGACGGATTCATAATTAATTTTCTTTCTGCGGTTTGACCTCGATTCTCTCCAGCGCCCCTCCACCCATTCCCGGCTCGGTCTCTTTCGCTTGCCGTCTCCGCACAGGTTTATTTTTAAAATGCTTTTGGGAGGGTCTAGACGATCCTGATGCCTAATAGTCAGACCGGGCATCCCAAGAGATGCCATTTTCATCGCCTCCTCGTTCTTTTGCTCGTTTTTCACTCCATCCTGTCTCTTTGTCCCACGTCAATATCTAGTTCATCATTTAGTCTCTCGTCTGGTGTCTCTATCCGCTCATCTCTGTGTTCTTCAAGGAACAGTCATCATTTACTCTCAAGATGTCATTCCAAAGCCTTTTGGAACACAGACGGAGAATCGTCACACAGTCCATATAACCACATTAGAATCAGAAAAGTGGTCCATACAACTTATTTCCAAGTCTTTTCAAAATTTTTCAGTTTAAATATGAAAAAAAATAATTTTACTTGATACGCAAAACTGCATAAGATATTATTAAGACTTGTTTTCAAAGAACGTATCTCTTTTTTTCACATGATTTGAATAGCAATGTTGAAAAGAAGACTTAATATTTTATGCAGCGTTGCATATTTAGTAAATTTAGCTTGTTTTGAAGATACCTGTACACTACTGTCAATATATACACTACAGTCTAATACTTTTATTCAGCAAGAGTGCATTAAAATGATCAAAAATGACAGTAAAGTCATTTATAATGTTAAAAAGGTTTATATTTTCAAATAAGTGCTGTTTATTATTATTTTTTTAATTTTTCATAGTAATCCTGAAAAAAGTATATTAAGCATTCAAACAGAAAAAGGTTATTTGAATTATAATAAAACTTCATAATTATAATAATAATAATAATACTGTTTTTATTGTATTTTTGTTCTAATAAACTAAGCCTTGAGATGTTCAGAAACATTCAAACATCTTACTGATCCCAAACGGTAGTGTATTTACTGGAAAATGAGACAAATAAAGGCTAATTAAGAAATAAAAATAGAAAATATATAAATAGAAAAATAAAAAATAGAAAATAAACACACACACACACACACACACATATTATTATTTATATTTTTTACCAAACTTTTTTAAAGCACAATTTGAACTAAAAAAGCACAATGTGTGATACCATTGTTGTCCGAATTTATTGCTGATTTAAAATGTGTTATTGAAACGAAATCTTGACATATTGTAAGTTCTGATTTTCCTATTCAAGTAGACAGGAGCTGTACTTGAATGAAAAATAGCTGCTGAAAGATGGCAGCCAAGCGAACTGATTTTGAAAACAACTTTCTGTCCATCTGTTCATCTCACAAAGTTATATCATATGGCTTCAGAAGACTATAAGGCACACAAGTCAGACTACTTTTAAGGTCTTTTGCTGTGTATTTTTTTCATTATTAGGACCAAAATCTGACAGCTGTGGTCACAAGCTGCATGACGTTTTTCTTCAAAACATCTCTGTTTGTGTTCCACAGAAGAATGACGGTTGGGTTTGAGGGTGAGTAGATGATGACAGAACGTTCATTTTTGAACAAACTATTTCTTTCACCCTCTTCCTCTCTCGCATGTGACATTTCATCATTCTATCTGGCAAAAACGGAGAGTCATTATTAGTCACTGGCCCTGCGTGCACTGGCGTCAGCAGTAAACACACACGCATTACTACAAACGCTTCGGAGAGTGACAAATACACCTATCACCGCTCCACATATTACACGCCACATTCTTGATGTCACTCGAATAAACATTTGTCTGTGTTATGTGTTAATCATGGCGTCTCAGCGCACTGCTCTCAATTGCTTTATATATCACTGTCTCCGTGCTGTTCTTCTGGCGCTCTGGTATTCACTGCATGCAAACATTTTAAACAGATGCTCCGTTCCTGCATGCAAGTACAAGAGTTATTGTTTTCTGGAAAAAGTGAAAGGTATGTGGGAAATGTTTATGCATCTGAAATAGAGTGCAGACTTATTTTTAAATGTGGTGGAGACTTTAGCATATAATTCTATTTTAGCAATATTTTGAATTCGTTTTTATTTTTCTATTTACTTTTCAATTTTAGGTAAAGTTTTAATCATTTTCTGTGTTTTTGTCTATATCTTTATATAGTTTTTATTTAAATATATAATTATATATTAAATATACATGATTTTTTTATTTTATGTTAGTATATCAAGTTAAACTAAAGGAAAATGAGAGATGTTGCCTTGGCTACTAGCTGAAATAAAAGTTTTTTATTTTATTTATTTAATTTGATGTGATTTTTTTTTTTATGGTTTTAATTTTAGTTAACTATAATAACCCTAAATGAAGATGATCTGATGTTCAATTATATTTATATCTCTCAGATTTTTATCCGATCTATTTGAGAATTTATTGAATATCGATCTCAACATTTTAATTTTCTACAGAGGCCCCAAAAAGTATTTGGACACGTGTATGTAATGTATGAATTTCATTGTATATGAAATAGCATTGATTTTAAAGAAGGACAGAACATTCATGCAAATAATTTCACAAACAGAAGTTTGTTAGGTTTTAAATAAAAAAATCAGCAGATATACTGTTTATAATTAAGTTTTTGGACACTTTTTGGATGTCAAATGTCAAACCCGTGGTGATTTTTTGCTAGGACACCTGTGTGAACTTGAGGGCATTTTGCACTCATATTTACGTCACTGCATTTCAGTTTCTGGCTGTTTTAAAAAAAAATGCATCAAAAATGATTTTATTCAGGACATTTAATATGATTATATTTTTGGTCCATGCACCATGAGCAGTTCTTCTTTTGGAGTTATAATTAGGGCGTTAGATTGCTGCTTTCTCGCTTTCTAGGGCATTTTGACAGGTCCATTACATAAATCTCACTAATGTGACCTCTTTCGCAATTCTTGCTCCCCAAATAAGACATTTTTATTGACAAAAGTGGGAGCTGTGGAGGTCAGAGATGCAAGAGATTCAGATTGTTGTAAGAGTATCAGAGAAAGTGCATCAGATGCATACTACTATTTAGCAAAAGCACCTATAAAACCACTGTAAAGATATCTATGCTTCTATATCTGCACAACAGCTGCAGCAAGATGATGCTTGCTGCTTACTTTAGAAAATGTATTGATCTTTGTAAGATTTGCAATGTGTCAATAGACTATAAATTGAATTTAAATGTAAGGTTTTGTAAGAGACAACTGCAAAGAAATACTGCTCTGTAATGTTTTTATATTTTTTACTTTTTATGTTTTAATAATGATTTTTGTAAGTTTTAAGCCCCAATATTTTTTTAATATACACTTCATAATATTTTATAACTTTTTATATAATGTTTAGTCCTAGTTTTGAATGTTTTAATAATGCTCCTTGTAATGCTTTGTAAAGTTTTAATATTCTTTAATTGTTTTATAACTTTTTGATACAGTTGTTTGATTTTATAACATTTGACGTTTTTAAAGGCAAAAAGCCCCAAGGCAATTTACAAACAATATCTAATGGAGACAGATCAAATAAACACTAGATACTGAATACATATTAGAGAAACTTCTGTAGAAGCAAAAACAAAAAAAAAAAGCCACTGCATTAACTCAGCCTTGCTCTATGACTTTCCATCACAGTTGTTTGTCAAAGCCCAGAATGACAGTGAGTGTTTATGTAAAATATGTTTTACTCTGTCATGTATTCATGAGATGCATAAGATGCAATGTAATATGGTCAAATATCCTCAGCAGTGGCAGCCAAAACTGTAATCCCCATGCTCCATAAACTGCGCAGTAATCCCGCTGAATTGGGCTGGATTTTACTCCCATGATGGAGCTGCACAGGAAGAGCATCCAACTACATTACGTAAGGTTTGCGGGGAGTTTTTGTCTGTTTGTGAATTTCTAATGGAGCGCTGTAACAAAGAGTTTGAGGGGAAATTTATGCAGAATACACCGCGGTCAAGCATAACATATCGTTATAATTATGCAACCGAACATATTGTTTTTAAGTGAATTTTTTCAGAAGTTTTTGTCATTAATGAGTGGTGCTTATTTTAATGGTTTGTTTGAAAAATCTTCATGCATCTATTTAAAGTTTATATCATCTTGCATCCTCTCTTAAGGTTTCTATTTTAGCTTTTGGCAACTGCAAAGTATCCCGATACATATTGTCTTCATTTTAAATCAAATATCTATTGTTCATATTATCATGTTTTGTATAAAATGTGTACTTGTGCAATAAAATAAATGCCACTTTGATATTTTATTATCTAATGCAATGACATTCATGCATGTCCAAATAGTTTTGGGCCACAGTATGTCTAATGGTTGATAATTCATTAAAAAAATTAGTTTGTTCAATGAAAAAGAGCATTATTATTATTTTACTTTAATTCAAATATTGTGCAACTTGGCAACTAGCTGAAATAAAATAATTTTAAATTTATTTATATGTTTTTTTTGTCTAATGTTTCTAATGTTTTTCTAAGTTATAGTTTTAGATAATGATAATAGCCCTGGTTCAAACAAGCCCAAACCAGCAAATATCTTCTCCATTTATGTATCCAAACTTGTGCAAAACTTTCTGGCACATTGGAATTAAAGCTAAACAGCTTTTGTCCTCCACAGAGCTAAAATAAGACTACATCACGCAAAACTCAAAACCTGTGTCCAGGTCTGAAATGAGTTTACAGTACATCAACACAGAAGGTCTGAACTCTGGATTTCATTCAGAAATGGAGCCAGCAGAAAAAAGGTTTATTACTGAGAAGAGGGGTTTATATTGTTGGTTATGTAACTTATAGGAATATCTCAAACACTTATTGCTCGATATAAGATATAAGCACAATCTCCTGAGAGTTATTGGATGAGCATCCCTGTTTCTAGAGAAATGTAATGCAGTAACACATGCTATGTATCCCAAACCAATAAAATGGGAATGTGAGACCTGTGATTCCTGTATAACAGTGATTCCAGATTTTAATTTTGCGTTGTTAAACTGGTAAAACTGAAACTATGATTTTTAAATACAAATATTAAGGCTGTCAAAAGATAGAAAAATATCTCTTGTTTTTTTGTAGCTTTCGTAGGAAGAAAGCAAGAAAAAAAAAGAGAAAGAAAGATTTGTCTGGATGAAACATGTAGCTGAATACTGTATATCCAAAGGCTGTGTACAGAGGTAGATTTCTAAAGCTCTTTTCTCATCTCACACTTTTCCACAATGTAATATAACACTCTTTCCTATATTTGTCCCACCCAATCAAACTGATAACAAACGAAATAACAGATTCTATATTTGTTAGGCTTCTTCAGTTTGAGAGGAGGCAGCCGGTATTGATTTTTGTACATTTAAAGTGAGTCATCATTGTGATAAGGGTTATTTTTATAATATTAGTGAATGGGTGCCGTCAAAACAGCTGTTAAAAACATCACAATAATCCACAAGTAATCCACACCACTCCAGTCCATCAATTAACATCTCATGATGTGAAAAGGTGCGTGTTTGTAAGAAGCAAATCCATTATTAAGATGTTTTTAACTTCAAACCATCACTTCATATCCATAATATTGCTTTCTCCAGTGAAAAAGAGAGAAATCTCTTCTTATCAGAATTAGGAGTGAAATACGCACAGATCCGTTTAAAATGGTCCTAAACATATGTCCTAAAAATATGTCAGTGGATTTTGATCTGAGACGACAACAGGGGATGGACTTTTTCACTAGAGGAAGCGTTATTATGGATTATGGACCCAGAAGCCAGATGTGATGATTGTGTGTTAATGATAGATTCGTTTCTTACAAACACGCAGCTTTTGGCTTCACAAGATGTTAACTGATGGACTGGAGTGGTGTGGATTACTTGTGGATTATTGTGATGTTTTTATCAGCTGTTTGGACTCTCATTCTGACGGCACCCATTCACTGCAGAGGATCCATTGGTGAGCAAGTCATGGAAAGCAAAATTTCTCCAAATCTGTTCTAGTGAAGAAACAAACGCATCTACATCTTGGATCACCTGAGGGTGAGTAATTTTCAGCAATTTTTTTTTACATTTTTGGGTGAACTATTCCTTTAAAAGAAATGTAGTATTTTGAAAAGTACTGATTTATAATACTCACTTTCCCTCCGAGCCATAGCTGTTCATACTGTCCTCGATGGACTCGTGGCTCGCCTGCCGGACCGTACGGCTGGGCATCTCTACGGCCAGCCCTGTCTCTGTACTCCTCTGAATGCCCTTTAACCTGCGGCCCTCTGGGTCTGAAACAAAGTTCACCAAACCAACATTTAAGTCATAAGATGTTTGCTAGGTGGTTCTTGGAACCAAATCTCTTAGTCCCTCCTTCAGTATAATTTTCTGGGAATGTTTATTGTCCAGTGCATAAAAATGGTGTATCATGATCACACGTCTTCATAAGTCGCATGATTTTAGATATCATGTCTGTCGTGCTGTGTGTGTGACGGGTTATTGTGAAATATCCATGTTATTCTTGTATTTCTGTCTGAGCGGCAAAGGCACTGGAAAAAGCAAGTTATATCAAATCCTCTCCATATCAGACTGAATAAAAATGTTGTGATAACGTTGCCGCCAGGTAGAGCACTGGTTGTATTAAAAATAAATCCTTTGAAAAATATAATCTTCTTGTATAATTCAAGTATGTAGTGGTGCCTTATTGAACTCAGAAGGCTTAGAGAACATTCACAAAGCCTGGACTTTTCCTAGTAAAGTTGAAGGGGATCAGCCGCAGACTGATAGCTTTACAGCCCATGACCTCATGAATATATTTCTATTCAGAGAATGAGTTTCCGAGTCATTTCAAAGCTGAATGTCATCTCATAATTGTTTTGGTACTCATTTTTTGCATGCACTTTATATAAGTCAACATAATGTTCACAACCCATTTTACTTTCTTTCTGAGAGGAAAATATATATACTGTATTTACTACCGTTCAAAATGTTTTTGAGAGAAGTCTCTATGCTCACCAAGGCTGCAGTTATTTAATAAAAATACAATAAAAATAATATAGTGAAATATTATTGCAATTTAAAATAACTGCTTTCTAGTTGAATATATTTTAAAAAGTAATTTATTCCTGTAATTAAAAGCTGAATTTTCAGCATCATTACTCCAGTCTTCAGTGTCACATGATCCTTCAGAAATCATTCTAATATGCTGATTTGCTGTTCAAGAAACATTTCTGATTATTATCAGTTTTTGTGGAAACTGATAAAAAAAAAAAAAAATCACAATTTTTGATGAATCGAAAGTTTAGAAAACAGCATTTATTTGAAATAGAAACATTTTATAACAATATAAATGTCACTTTTGATCAATTTAATGTGTCCTTGCTGGCTAAAAGTATTAATTTCTTTCAGAAACTTTGGAATTATAGTATATTTTGTATTATTTTTTAAATCAATATTACTATTAATATTTTTAATATATTAAGTCACCACTGATTTCATGTTGATTTTAAATCTTCATTGAACAAAAACATTTTTATTTTTCATTGATCATCAAATTATTTCTATTTTCCAATGACTAATTAATACATATTTTAATTTCAAATTCAGGTTTTTTTTTTTTTATATATATATATAATGCCACAACAAGTGAGAATGATACATATCTTTTTTTTTTTTTTTTTTTGTCATTTCTGAAAACTGCATGTTATCTGCTGAAATGCGTTTGATCCACATGAAAAGCACACACTCTGCAGTGATGGTAGAGCAGCCATTTTCACAGCTTTCTCCTGGCCGTGAAGCACATGACCTAGTTAGGCCATTCCTAAAAATACATTCCTCTTTTGTCTGTTCCTGCATTTCTGGTGCGCTTGGCACATGCTAACTAGCATGTCAGTGTAACCTTCCAAAACAGAACATCATGTATCAGGAAATGCACTAGAAATGCCAGGGTTGCTATGGGAGACAAGAGCAGTGTGCTTCACTTCATCTCTCTCTCTTTAGCCTTTTTATGTTCGGCGAACATGCCTCAAAAAGTGATTTCACATTTTCACAAAAACAACACAAAACAAAAAAAAACAGCCAAATCCCAGCAAAACTTGATTTTTAGATGTGCTTTTGGGTGGTCTCCAGAGTGTTGGCACGTTTTGATTGGTTGTTGACATGCTGCTGTGTGGTTTCTTGGGAGTTGTTTGGTGGTTTCAAGTGAGTTATGAGCAGTGGTGTAGGCTACGGTAACAAAGTATTTTTACTTCATTTCTAGCCTACTTAAAGGGATAGTTCACCCAAAAATGAAAATTCTGTCATTAATTACTCGTAAGACCGTTCATCTTCAGAACACAAATTAAGATATTTTTGATGAATTCTGACAGCTCTCTGACCCTCCCATAGACAGCAATGTAATTACCATGATCAAGGTCCAGAAACGTAGCAAGGAGATCGATAAAATAATCTATGTGACATCAGGGGTTCAACCGTAATTTTACGAAACTATGAGAATACTTTTTGTTCGCAAAGAAAAACAAAAATAATGACTTTTCTCCAAAATGGCACCAGGGTGACGCGGAGGAGACGAATTGTTGAATAAAGTCGTTATTTTTGTTTTCCTTGCGTATAAAAAGTATTCTCGTAGGTTCGTAAAATTACGGTTGAACCCCTGATGTCACATGGATTATTTTATCGATCTCCTTGCTACGTTTCTGGACCTTGATCGTGGTAATTACATTGCTGTCTATGGAGGGTCAGAGAGCTCTCAGAATTCATCAAAAATATCTTCATTTGTGCTCCGAAGATGAACGAAGGTCTTACGGGTTTAGAACGACATGAGGGTGAGTAATTAATGACAGAATTTTCATTTTGGGGTGAACTTACCCTTTAAGTACATTTATTAGCTAAGTATCTGTACTTTATCGGAGTATTTTTATTTTGAGAAACTTTTACTTCACTAGATTTCAAAGCATAATATCATACATTTTATTCCACTAGAATTCTTAAAACATTTCGCACCTCGTTATTTTGAACTGGAGAAATCACCACCCGCTCCGAGATGTGATATCGGTGCGTGATTCATGAACGAGCCGATTCTTTTTAGTGAACCTGTTAAATCGGTTCGCAAATCGCACTGAATTATTCATTCGCAAACTGGACTGAGCGGATTGCAGCTGTTCTCGAGTCAACAACTCACTGTTTCAAATGATTCAGTCAGAGCGAGTCGCCAGTAAACAATTCAGTGAAGTCTGACTCAAAATAAGCAAAAAACGGGTTAAGGCTGGAAGGGATACAGCTGTGGGTACTGGGCATGCGCACATCAAAATAGCATCATTTTTGTCACGCTGTACAACAATAATTACTGTTTTTGCATTATTGTGAGTAGGTTTAGGGTTGGGAAGGTGTAGACGTTAATAAAACACTATCTAATAGGTAGAAAATGTAATTTATTGTTGGTTTTTCTGGCCGTAGCTGTATCCCTTCTAGCTACAATCCCAAAAATGGGAGATCTTCAGAGCTTGAGTGCATGCGTGACTGATGGCGCGAAAAATAAGTTACTAATGTTATTATATGAAAATCATTTAAGTCACGAATGTCAGCTGTTTGTGAACTAAATCTGTTGTAAAATGGCGAGCTGTTTAAAGAAGTGCTTAACGGGTTAGTTTTTTGGTAAAAATAAAATATAATACTTAATGCTCATGCATCTTCCCCATTGCCGAAGCATATGCTTGCATAGCGTTCTTCTTAAAATGTTATACATTTTGCCCTTTGTCTGTATTCACAGTATATTGTTTGTGAACACACATTTAGTTATTCCTCATTTT